CAGGAGCAGCATCGTCATCATCAGCAGCAGCATCGTCGTCGTCATCATCCGTCTCCTCCCTAGCCTCCTCCTCCTCCTCCTCCTCCTCCTCCTCTTCCTCTCCTCTCCTCCTCCTCCTCCTCCTCCTCCTCCCTCCTCCTGCTCCGCCCCCTCGTCCTCCTCCTCTTCCTCCTCTCCTCCTCCTCCTCCTCCTCCTCCTCCTCCTCCTCCTCCTCCTCCTCCCTCCTCCTCCTCCTCCCCCCTCCTCCTCCTCCTCCTCCTCCTCCTCTTCCGCCTCCTCCTCCTCCTCCTCTCCTCCTCTCCTCCTCCTCCTCCTCCTCCTCCCTCCTCCTCCTCCCTCCTCCTCCTCCTCTCCTCCTCCTCCTCCTCCTCCTCCTCCTCTAGAAGCACCTCTACGTTGGCTACGCAATCGGCTAACGGACATCAACTACAGCATCCATCATCAAGATCATCAGCAACTAGTCTTCGGCGTCGCAGGGCTGCAGGATGCTCCTGAAGAGTTTCAAGAGGTCGAGAGCCTCAAGCAGGGGCTCCTCGCCTCCCAGCGGCTCGGCGAGCTGCTGATCTCCGACAGTGCGGCAGGTACGCTAGCAATGGGCACAGCCGACGACGCCATCGGGACCCTGATCGAGGACTTGGACAAGTCCATCGGTTCGGAGAGGGGCAAAAGCAATCTGGCGGCCTCTAAGGCCTGGGCTTCCTGGGTACAGACCTCACTGCAAGGCGGCGCTGGCTGGGCACATCGCTGGACGCGTAATCTCGAGGCTTGGAAGCCCGCTTCTACCTTTCACCGCGGCCAGTGGTCAGGCAGGCCGTCGAGAATTCTGGAGGGGGAAGCTGAAAGACTTGCCAGCATCTGGGATACGGAAATGAGGACCCAACCTAACCCTGTTCCTGGTCATATCGACGATCGCGTCGCTCTGGGCCTTCTCACAGGTGAAACGGTGCAAGCAGCCGCCAAGAGCTTCCCCCCCAGAACAGCATCGACCTGGGACGGTGTCCATCCGAGGCATTTCCTCTTGCTTCCGCAACTGCAGGCGGATCTCATAGCTCGGCTCATCCTGGTCATAGAATGCCTGGGGTTCATGCCGTCGCAGCTGCAAGCTATCATATCGGTCCTCATCATGAAGCACAAGCAACAGGATAAGACAGCAACAAAGCCAGCTATGAGATCCATAGGAATGATGTCAGGCCTTTATCGTACGTGGGCGCGCATTCGTCAGTCAGCTGCTCGTGAATGGGAGAGGCATCACAGGCGACCCTTTCTCGCCCACCAAGCAGGACATTCGATAGTTGAGCTCGTTTTCAAGCAGAATCTGGATTGCGAAACTTATTCTAAGAAGAGCGAAGCCTTTGTTTCTGGTATGGTTTTGTATGACCTCAGTAACTACTACGAGCACGTCAACAGAAGCAAGTTAGCCAAGCGAGCCCTTAGAAGTGGTTTCCCTGCTACCCTCTTAAGGCTCATCATCAGCATATACTCGAGTCCTAGGTTCGTCGCCCTCCAGGATATGATCGTCTATGTCGGTTGTACTAAGTACGGTCTAGCTGCAGGGTGTGGGTTTGCTACTTATCTCATCCAGATGTACACCCTGGAACCCCTGGACTCCTGGACCCACCAGAACCCCTCCCTCGACCTTTTCATGTTCATTGATGACCTCCTCTTGAAGTCTCACAGCCAGAAGCCCAAGGTCGTGGTCAGCAGCCTCGACTTGGGCACCCGCCGTTTGCTCGCCTGTATCAAGCAGGATTTGGACTGCAGCATCTCGCCAGCCAAGACGCAGATGGCAGCCTCGACCCCGCAGCTCAGGTCTCTCTTGAAGAAAAAGCTAAAGGATCGTGCAGGCACCAGATTGGACATCTCAGCCCCCAATCTCGGAGTGGAAACTGCTGCAGGGGCCCCCCAGTGCAGATGGCGCAAGAACAGGCTGACCAGGACGAGGATGGAGCAGATCAAGAGAAGGATGAGGAGGTTGGGTGCCATTCAGAAAGGAGGAGGTGACACGAGGAAGGTTTACAACACGGGGATTTTCGCAGCAACATCCTTTGGACACGAAGTGACGGGCCTTAATAATTCGCAACTAGCAATTGCCCAGCAACAATATTTAAAGCTAGCAGGGCCCAAATGTGCTACTAGAAGCAGAACTTTAAGCTTAATCCTAGTGGGTGACCCCACCTGGAAGCTCGCCCTTGGACCTGCCATGCTGTGGCATATGCTTGTGTGGAGTGCCGCCACCAATTCGTGTCAATCGCTGGCCTCGCTGAGAGCTCTCAAGGCCCGCGGGGAGAGCCTTTTGGGCTCCACGCCTCAGAGGTGGGCGGCCGTTCGGGGGCCTTTCGGGGCCATGATTTTGTCTCTCAAACGAATTGGGTGGAGTCTGGCCTCCCCTCTCGTGTTTGTTTCTCGCAGCGGCCTGCAGTACCCTATGACCAGCTATTCTCCTGCGTTTGTACAGCAGCTCATGCAGGCCGACTGGATCAATGTTTTGAAAGAGAAGGCTGCGAGCAAGCTCGGTGCTCCAGGTGCTAGGCTAGACTCTGCAGCAGCCCTCGCTGCCTTGAAAGATCGGTCGCTCTCGAAGCAGGAGAGAGGCTGTCTCTTGACGTTTCTCACCCAAGGTTGCTGGACAAAAGCTCGAGCCAAGGATGCAGGCTATCCCGTCGACCCAGCCTGCCCCTGTGGTGCCGAGTCTGATGATATCAAGCACCGCGTTTTCGGCTGCGAGCTGTCTAGGAACGAGCGTGAAGAATGTTTCAGTCCAGCAGAGTTGGACACGTTGCAGTCGAGCAGCGACGAGCCTCTGATGCGTTTTGGTTTTCAGCGGGACCCTGAGTTTTCCGTGGGAGCCAGGCCCGGCCTCGGGATCGAAGACGTTGAATTCTGGTGCAGGGACCCAGATTTGTCTCTGCACGAGGCCTTCGTAGGCCAAGTCTACACCGACGGTAGTTGCGACAATTCACTACACCCAGCTTACCGTGCGGCTGGATTCTCTGTAGTTGCCCTGCGTGAAGACGAGCCATTCGCCATTCTCACGGGACAGGTGGGGCAGCAGTTTCGACAGACCTCAGGAGCGGCAGAGCAGCTTGCGATTCTTTTAGCTTGTCATGCATCGCCGTTGATAACTCATGTGCGCACGGATTATAAAGCCGCTATAGACCTCCATCTGGCTCCTCGCTATCCTCGCAGGTCCCCGATGAGCGGCTTCAAGGTCTTGGCAGGCGCGTGCCGCGTCCGCCCTAGCAGTTGTTTATGCAAGGTGAAAGGCCACCAGAATCTCGAAGCCGAGTTTTCTTCCCCCGAGGAACGGACCCATGCCATCGGGAACGATGCTGCCGACAAGGCGGCAAAGCAGGCGGCCCAGAAGTTGGCCCAGCCCAGCAGGTCCGAGGTAGAATCCCACGCGAATCAAACCCAATTGCTCGGCCGATTTTTTCGTTACCTGGCTCGAATCCTCCCTAAGTGGCCCGCCTTGGCTCCTAAGAGAGGCAAGAAGGGCCTCGAGGCCCCCACGAGTTCCAACCCCCCCATCGGAGCCGCGTCCGCTCCTCATGTCTGGGGCCCTGGGACCGACCCTCTGCCTCCTCCGCTCCCTCCTCCGCCGCCTGCGGTTGTGTCAGAGGTTGCGGACGCGACTCACAATTGGGAATATATAAGGGGTAAATGGTTATGCACCGTTTGCCGAGTGACGGCGAAGTCTAACCAATCTCAGATTGCCCGTCAGAATGAGAAGTGCCCAGGGTATTGTGCTGCTATGGCTAAGCTGGCCCAGGACCCGAAACGGCACAATCTCCTTTGGTTCGAATATCTAGACAATTCGTCAACCCTGATTATCTGCAAAGATTGCGGCTCTTATATGGAGCAAGGCAGGGGGCTAAATTCGGTGTGTTTACGTCAAGGGCCGCAGAGTACAGGTGCCGCCGACCGTCTCTCTAAGGTCCTCAGTTTAAGACACCCGAAAGGGGGGAAGAATTCACCAGTTGTTTTCAAACCCCCTGTCCCCCTGGCCCAATTTTACCGCCAGACTCTCAGGGATCTGGCAGCAGCATCAAGCTCTGCTGCGGGGGCTGCTTCCTCCTCCTGAAGAGCTCGGAGGCCCAGGCCTCTGTCTCCGCGCTGGGGCGCGGTGGATCTCAGACATCATCCCAAGCTGTGCGCTGGTCCTCCTCCTCCTCCTCCTCCTCCTCCTCCGACTCCGACTCCGACTCCGACTCTGGCTCAGACTCCCACTCCTCCTCATCCTCATCCTCCTCTTCATCATCATCAGCATCAGCATCAGCAGCATCATCAGCATCAGCATCAGCATCAACATCAGCATCATCATCATCATCCTCATCATCATCATCATCATCATCATCATCATCATCATCATCATCGTCATCATCATCAGCAGCATCATCATCAGCATCATCATCCTCATCATCATCAGCAACAGCATGATCATCATCACCATCATCAGCATCATCAGCATCATCATCACCATCACCATCATCATCAGCATCATCATCATCATCATCATCAGCATCATCATCATCATCAGCATCATCATCACCAGCAGCCGCAGCAGCATCATCACCATCATCATCATCAGCAGCAGCATCATCATCACCATCATCATCATCATCATCAGCATCATCATCAGCAGCATCATCATCATCAGCAGCAGCACCACCATGATCATCATCATCATCATCATCAGCAGCAGCAGCAGCATCGTCGTCATCATCATCAGCCTCATCATCATAAGCATCATCATCATCAGCGTCGTCGTCATCGGCATCATCAGCATCATCATCAGCATCATCATTATCACCAGCATCCTCATCAGCATCATCAGTAGCATCATCAGCAGCATCATCAGCATCATCATCATCAGCATCATCATCAACATCAGCATCGTCATCCTCCTCCTCATCCTCCCTATCCTCCTTCTCCTCCTCCTCCTCCGCCTCCACCTCCTCCTCCGTGGAGAAGCTGCTTCAACCGCGAACCCAACGATCTCCTTGAACCCTGTGCAGTTCGACGCCAAACTCCGCGAGCCACTAGCGGCACTCGCGTTCCTCGGGGCAAGAGAGGCCCCGATCCCTCCACTCTTCGTGGGCGGGAAAGCCTATTCACATCCACGGCCTCGCGTTCTGGACTCCTCGCCCGCCACCCCATGGAGAATGAGCGGTTCTGCAAGGATGCCCCGCACGGAACGTGCACATGGGATCGCACCTCGGCAGTCTGGGCGCGAGGGCATAGATGTGGATGTGCTCCTCGCGCGTGGTGCCTGCCCCTCCCAGGGGAGGAAGAGGAGGGGTGGGAGGAAGACCTGAGCAGCCCCTGCAGACGCAACCGATGTTCCAGCCGACCCGCCCCCCGCCCCTGACCCCTCATGAATGAATGAGAGGATGTTTGCCACTGCGGCGAGCGGCATCAACGAGCCTTCGAAATGCGCTCGCGTAACGTCAGAAGGCTCAATCGGAAATTGCCAGGTTCTCCATCTAGCCGGGGGAACTTCAGAAGAAATGTCAGCGACGCGGGAGAGAGAGCACGAGTTCCAAGAACGAGCCGCATACGAGTCGCACAACAGCTGGAACAATAATCCGGGCGAAGGACCCAAACATATGCAGTTGTGAGTAACGCGTTGTGGGTGCCGCTTTCGGTGGAGCTCCCTTTAGGGCCACAAAACGCGTGAGTGACGTGCCGTAATGGGTGGGGGAGACGCATGCGGGCGGTGCCACTGGGGCCTTCCGTAGAGCTCCCTATGGGACCACGGAACGCTGTACTAGTTGGTGGCTGACCCTTGGGGGCGGTGCCCCTCGCTGGAGCTTCCGATGAGGCCACGAAACGCTGTACTGGGTGGTGGCTGACGCATGCGGGCGGTGCCACTGTGGCCGTCGGTGGAGCTCCCTATGGGGCCACGAAACGCTGTGCTGGGTGGTGGCCGACGCATGCGGGCGGTGCCAGTGGGGGCTTTCGGTGGAGCCCCCGTATGGGCCCACGAAGCGCTGTACTGAGTGGTGGCTGACGCATGCGGGCGGGCGACTGGAGCTCCCTACGGGGCCTCGAAACGCTGTACCCGGTGGGGGAGACGCATGCGGACGGTGCCAGTGGGTCCTTCGGTAGCGCTCCCTATGGGACCACGAAACGCTGTGCTGCAAGGGGGAGACGCACGCGGACGGTGCCCTTGGGGCTTTCGGTGGAGCTCCCGTTGGGGCCACGCAACGCTGTACTGGGTGGTGGCTGACGCATGCGGGCGGCGCCACTGGGGCCTTCGGTGGAGCTCCCTGTAAGGCCACACAACGCTGTGCTGGGTGATGGCTGACGCATGCGGACGGTCCCGCTGGGACCTGCGGTGGAGCTCCCTATGCGACCACGAAACGCTGTACTGGGTGGTGGCTGACGCATGCGGGCGGTGCCAGTGGGGCCTTCAGCGAAGCTCCCTACGGGGCCACGAAACGCTGTACTGGGTGGTGGCTGAGGCATGCGGGCGGTGCCACTGGGGCCTTCGGTGGAGCTCCCTATGGGACCACGGAACGCTGTACTAGTTGGTGGCTGACGCTTGGGGGCGGTGCCCCTCGCTGGAGCTTCCGATGAGGCCACGAAACGCTGTACTGGGTGGTGGCTGACGCATGCGGGCGGTGCCACTGTGGCCGTCGGTAGAGCTCCCTATGGGGCCACGAAACGCTGTGCTGGGTGGTGGCCGACGCATGCGGGCGGTGCCAGTGGGGGCTTTCGGTGAAGCTCCCTGTGGAGCCACGAAACGCTGTACTGAGTGGTGGCTGACGCATGCGGGCGGGCGACTGGAGCTCCCTACGGGGCCTCGAAACGCTGTACCCGGTGGGGGAGACGCATGCGGACGGTGCCAGTGGGTCCTTCGGTAGCGCTCCCTATGGGACCGCGAAACGCTGTGCTGGGAGGGGGAGACGCACGCGGACGGTGCCCTTGGGGCTGTCGGTGGAGCTCCCGTTGGGGCCACGCAACGCTGTACTGGGTGGTGGCTGACGCATGCGGGCGGCGCCACTGGGGCCTTCGGTGGAGCTCCCTGTAAGGCCACACAACGCTGTGCTGGGTGATGGCTGACGCATGCGGGCGGTCCCGCTGGGACCTGCGGTGGAGCTCCCTGTGGGACCACGAAACGCTGTACTGGGTGGTGGCTGACGCATGCGGGCGGTGCCAGTGGGGCCTTCAGCGAAGCTCCCTACGGGGCCACGAAACGCTGTACTGGGTGGTGGCTGAGGCATGCGGGCGGTCCCACTGGGGCCTTCGGTGGAGCTCCCTGTGGGGCCACGCAACGCTGTGCTGGGTGGTGGCTGACGCATGCGGGCGGTGCCAGTGGGGCCTTCAGCGAAGCTCCCTACGGGGCCACGAAATGCTGTACTGGGTGGTGGCTGAGGCATGCGGGCGGTGCCACTGGGGCCTTCGGTGAAGCTCCCTGTGGAGCCACGAAACGCTGTACTGGGTGGTGGCTGTCGCATGCGGGCGGTGCCAGTGGGGGCTTCGGTGGAGTTCCCTATAGGGCCACGAAACGCTGTACTGGGTGGGCGAAACGCAGGGAGGAAAGAGGAGGGGGAGCAGGGGGAGGAGGAGGGGGGGAGGAGGAGGAAGGAAGGAGGAACGCGGGGACCGTCCCTTCAAAACGAGGACCCAACACCACAGGATGGTTGAGAGAAACGATAATGTGAACTGTCGGAAAGGACGCCCCTGGTGAGATCCCAAACATTGAAGCATGAACAATTCCCGAGACTGCCAAGCGTTAGGATCATCCACCTAGGACATCCCAGGTAAGAAATCCCAAGGCTGAAAATGGCTCGCCCTCCATCTATGTAGCAGTGCTTGACATGTAACCCGCTCGTCGTAGAGGCATGGCATATCGGGTGGATTTGAAAGAGTGCACGCGACACGAATGAGAGCCACAGCGTGAGACCACCTGCCATCCGTCTGTGTAGCTTCTTATCGGCGGCGAGCCGGGCGGCCCTTCTCAGAAGTCTCGGCAGTCCCCCGGCCTTCTGACAAATGTTCTAAGCCTTCCACGAAGACACAGAAAACATCTCAGAAGGCGTGAGAACTTCTGAGAAGTCCCACCGATTGCTGAGAAGGCCTTCTCCTCCTCATTTCCACCTCTAGCTCACTGCCGATCCTATGTCGAAGGCATTTGTGTGCACTGATGTTCGAAGCCACCCGGCGTCGATCCGCGTGGCTGCTCGCAACGTGCGGCGGGCGGGAGCGAGACCTCAACAACAGAACTGCCGCCCTCCCTCCTCAGAGCTGCGGGCCACTTTTACATCCAATGCGCGTCGCGCTGAGGCGAGAGCCACATTTTGACCCCGAGCGTTGGTCCATACGTGCAACTCCTGGACAAGGTTCGAACATATGTCGCCGCGCCGTTTGTTCTGAACGCGCCCAAGTAAACGAAGTCGGCACCGCGGCAAAACCCACGGCAAACCCTGCTTCCGAGACAGAGTTTGCTCTGGTGGCCGAGGCGCCCTCTCAAAGACGGAAGGCCGCGCGTCGGAACAAACGGCGTGGCGACATATGCGAGCGGCGCTCAAGCAAGAGCCACGCATTGCAGACAGCCTCCCTCCATCCGAAGAACGATTCGAAAACGAGCGTGGCGAGCGCGGGCAGCTTTCAAGCGGGAGCCACATTTTGAGAACCGCCCGCGCCCCAGCCGTGTCACGGGAAGAACGTCAAGCTTCAGGAAAACAGACCGGGACGAAGTCTCGAATGGCACGCCCCGCACACGCTTCGGGCACGTGAGTGCACGAGGCGTGGGGCGGGAGCGAGGGACGGGGCGAGGGGGAGAGGGAAGCCGGGTCCCAGGCCGACCTTGGCGGACCCCCACCGTCGCACTCCTCAGCCGCAACGGCTCGGAACCGAGACCTGGCCGGGGCATCCGAGGGCCGGTCCAGGGGCGGAACGAGGCGAGGAGCGGGAGAGGCGCGAGGGGAAGCACCGCGGGCGGCGGAGCACGCTCAGAGCACGCAGCTCTTGCGAGCGTGCGCCGGGGCACGGGCTCTTTGCACGGGCAGCAGGCGGGAGGTGGTGAGGCGGCCCACGGACCAGGTGGAGCGACGCTGGGCCCGGTCCGGACGGGCCGGCCCCGCTGGGCAGGCACGCCGCCAGGCTCTCGTGCCTGCCTCGCGGCGGCGTGGTCCGCGGAGACGGAGGCCGACGGCGAGTCCTGGTTGAGCTTGGGCCTCGGCCAAATGCCGTTCACACATACCCGGGCGCGATGAAGTGACAGGGTACTAGGGTCGGAGTGAAGGAGGCTGCTGCATCCCTTCCCCGAGCCCATCCCCCCCTAACGTTGCCCCTGACGATACGTCGGGCCGCTGGCCCCAAGACTCTCGGCCCAACCCCTGGGCCCGATGTGGCCGCCGCAGGGCGCTCTTCGGGTCGGCCCCGGGTGCCCGACAGCGCTGGTCCTGTTGCCTGTTGCCTGGAGACCGGTCGGGTCGGACGACCCGGGGGAGGTCCGCAAAGGGCGGGTGAGCGAAGCAACTCACGCGGCTGCTTCTTCAGGGATCTACTGGCCCGGGTCATCCAGACCTGGGTCAGTCCGGCGTTGCAGGATCCTGTAAACAGCCTGCAGGCTCCCGCAAGATCCTGCACCCACACCCGGGCCAGTGCGCCCCTGGCCCTGCAGGATCCTGCAAGATCTGGTGCTCTGGCTGACCCCCGTTTTCACTGACCCCCGCCTCAAGGCTCCCGAGGGCGGGGCTCGCCAGGGCTGCCAGCACAGCCACGGCCCCAGGTCTGCCCAGACTCGGCGCGCTCCCCCGCAACGCCGGCCACGGCAGCCCCCGTGCGCAGGGCGGGGATCGACGGAGCGTCGGCCAGCGCCCACGTGACAGGGAGCCGCGCGAGAGGCAAAAGCGCCCAGGGCCCAAAGAGAGTCGCTGCTCGAGTTTCTGACCACTTCCGCGCGGACCCCCCTCCCCTCACGCCCAGGGGGCACGGGGGGAGCGGCGTCCAGCACTGCCCCGAGAAGCAGGCACGGACTGCCGACAGTCTACGCCAAAGTCTTTGCAGGGGGCAGCGACGGCAGGGGAACGGCTCGGCCAGGCGAAACTCGGCCAGGATGAGCTCGGCCAGCCGAACTCGGCCAGGCCGAACTCGGCCCGGCGCGGATTCGGCTTGGCCGAGTTCCGCATGGCCAAGGTCAGCCAGCCGAGTTCAGCCTGGCCGTGTGCAGCTGGCTGAGTTTGGCCTGGCCGAGCTGTCCCTGGCCGAATGTAGCTGCTGCCCGACGGCCTGCCGTCGGACCGCACCCGCCCCCCGACGCGAGCCAACACACTCAGCCTGTGCGCCCCCCTGGAACAAAGGCCAGGTGCTAAGTAACCCCCGCGCGCGATCCACCCGCTCGCGCTTTCTGAACAGCTCGCCACGAGTCCGCGCTCAAAGCGCGACGCCAGGGCGCGCGGAGCCCCCTCTCCGCAGAGCACCTGGATTGGTGCGATTGCGACAGCCGCTACCCGATGGAGGTCGTCTCCACCCCTTCCGCGGAGCTCCGAAAGTTGGTGCGTGTGCCGCATGCAGTAGAAGGACGCCAACTACACACCAGCACCGATCCTGGCCCGGCTCGCCCTGGGCCCAGGATCGATGCCTACGCTCCCCTGGCTTGGGCAGGAAGGCACAGCCACCGGTCCTGGGCCACAGATCGGCCTGGCCAAGGTCGGCGTAGGTGTATAGCCCGTGCCCGCCGATCCTGGCGTTACCCTCCTTCGCGCACCGCCCTGCGCGGGGCGCGGCGCGCGATCACCTCCGCGCCGCCGCGCCTCCGTGCCGCCCCCCGTTGGAGAAGGGCAGCCGCTGTGGCCCAGGCCACGGAGCGCGGCGCGCGACCATCTGCGCACTCCCGCGGGCGGCCTCCCCGAGATCCGAAATGCGGACAAGCGTGGCATCGCGAAAACCCACGACCGGAGCCCCAGACCCCATCTTTCTGCCGCATGCTGCGAGCCGGATCGGTAAACGGTGGGTCCTCGGGCCCGAAACCTGGCGAAGGCGCCCGCCGCGCAGGAAACTGCAACGCCTGGACCTCAGGGCCAGGTCTGGTCTTCTTTTGGCGGCGCGCACACGGGGGTAGGGGGAGGGGGGAAGGCTTCTTAGAAGGAGGCCGCTTCGCACAAGGCGTCGGCCCCACATCCACAGGTGAGGCCCGCGCCTTGTGAGAAGCAGGGGTGTTTCTAAGAAGCCTTCCCCCCTCCCCCTACCGCCCTTGTTGTGCGCATGGCCGAGTCTCCTTCGACTCGCGCATCACGCGCGGCCTGCGCGCCGCGGGGGGCCGGGAGAGGGCGGGCGCCTCGAAGCTGGCGACAAGGGGGCCTGGGGCACGCCGAGGTCGCGCCTGCTTCAGGGCGGCGGGAAGAGAGGGCGGGCGCTCCCCCCTCCCTCCTCCTCCTCCTCATCCTCCTCCTCCTCCTCGTCCTCCGCCTCCTCCTCAGCCTCCTCACCTTCCTCCTCCTCCTCCTCCTCCACCTCCTGCTCCTAGTACGATGATTCTTCAAAGTATGATGATAATGTTTCTTCGTCTCTCCCGTCTTATTAGTATGGGTGGTATGATCAGTCTTGCCAGTAGCGTTACTACGCGCAGTCTTTTTTAACAGTGATGATGATAGTACGTTGAAGAATATGTTTAGTACTGGCACGAGAGTTAGCATTCGCCTTGTCATTAGTTCTGTAAACTTGATGATGAGCAGTCGCAAAAGAAGAAGTAGTACTACTGGTGTGAACCGTAATAGTAGTGGTCGTCGCCGTAGTCGTAGAAGAAGAAGTACTAGTAGGTGGTAGCATTAGTAGAAGTAGTTGTAATTGTAGTAGGAATGATAATCTCACTTAGAACACAAGCCGTATAACTCGTACCAACACTATAAACCGTGTACACACTATACGTCGTGCAAAAGTATAGACACTAGATGTACCAGATAGTATGTGTAGTAGTAGTCGTAGTAGTAGTAGTAATAATAACAATAGTAGTAGTCGTGGTAGTCGCGGAAGTAGTAGTAGGCGTAGTAGTAGTAGTGATAATATAATGACTCGTACTAGTATTAGTACTACTATAAGAAGCAACACAAGTAGTAGTAATAGTAGTAGTAGTAGTACTCGTACTAGCAGTAGTAGTCGCAGTAGTAGTACTAGTAGTAGAACTACTAGTACTCGTAGTAGTGGGAAATATTAGAAGTAATAGTAGTAGTAGTAGTAGTCGTCGTCGTCGTCGTCTCAGTAGTAGTAGTAGTAGTAGTAGTAGTAGTAGTAGTAGTCGTCGTAGTATCAGTAGTAGTATCAGTTGTAGTATCAGTAGTAGTAGTGGTAGTAGCAGTAGTAGTAGTAGTCATACTAGTAATAGTAGTAGTAGTAGTGGTAGTAGTAGTAGTAGTAGCAGTAGTAGTAGTAGTAGTAGCGTCTTAGCAGAAGTAGAAATAATAGTGGTGCAGGTGGCGGTGGCATGAGTAGTAGTAGTAGTAGTAGTAGTAGTAGTAGTCGTAGTAGTAGTAGTAGTAGTAGTAGTAGTAGTATCAGTAGTAGTATCAGTTGTAGTATCAGTAGTAGTAGTGGTAGTAGCAGTAGTAGTAGTAGTCATACTAGTAATAGTAGTAGTAGTAGTAGTAGTAGTAGTAGTAGTAGTAGTAGTAGTCAGTAGCAGTAGTAGTAGTGGTAGTAGCAGTAGTAGTAGTAGTCATACTAGTAATAGTAGTAGTAGTAGTAGTAGTAGCAGCAGTAGTAGTAGTAGTAGTCGTAGTAGTAGTAGGAGTAGTAGTAGTAGTAGTAGTAGTAGTAGCGTCTTAGCAGAAGTAGAAATAATAGTGGTGCAGGTGGCGGTGGTATGAGTAGTAGTAGTAGTAGTAGTAGTAGTAGTAGTAGTAGTAGTCGTAGTAGTAGTAGTAGTCGTAGTAGTAGTAGTAGTAGTAGTAGTAGTAGTACTAGTATTAGTACTAGCAGTAGTAGTAGTAGTAGTAGTAGTAGTAAATGAATAGGATTAGCAGTAACAGTAGCATAGGCATCATACATAGAATTAGTAGTAGCCGAAGAAATAGAAACGACGTAATACTAGTAGTAGCAGTAGTAGTCGCAGTCGTAGTCGCAACAGTAGTAGTCACAATAAATGTAGAGTAGTAGTAGCAGTAGTAGTAGTAGTAGTAGTAGTAGTACTAGCAGTCGTCGTAGTCGTAGTCGTAGTCATAGTAGTCGTAGAAGTAATACTAGCAGCAGTAGTAGTAGTAGTAGTAGTAGGAGAAGCTGTAGCAGTTGCAGTAGTAGTGTAGTGGTGGTTGTAGTGTAGTAGTAGCCCTCCTCCTCCTCATGATCAGCATCACCGTCATTATCCAGCAGCATCATCATCATCGGCATCATCAGCATCATCATCATCATCAGCACCATCATCATCAGCATCAGCATCATCATCATCAGCATGATCATCATCATCATCATTATTATTGTTATCATCATCATTATTATTATTATTATTATGATGATTATTATTGTTATTATTATTATCATTATTACTATTATTATTAGTATTATTATTAGTATTATTATTATTATTATCATCATCTTCCTCCTCCTCTTCATCCTCCTCCTCCTCCTCCTCCTCCTCCTCCTCCCCTTCTCCCTCCTCCCTCCTCCCTCCTCCTCCTCCCTCATCCCTTCTCCCTCCTCCCTGGGGCAGGGAGAGGAGGCGCGCGCACTCTCCAGCACCCCCACCGCGCACCATCCCGGTCGCTGGCCGAGGCGGGCAGGCTCGCAACGAAGGCTGGTGCAGGCTGGCCGACCCCGCGTAGCCTGCGAATTCGGCAGCGATCAGCCCACGCGTCGGGCGCCGCGCGCCGCGCACGTCACGCACGCGCCAGCGATGAGCTCACAGATATCGGCTCCACGCAAGAGTCATCCTGGGCAAAGGTGGCCCTTCGTGCGCGGCCAGGAGGCCCGTGGGAGGGGGGCCAAGTCCAGCACGCAGGCCAGTGCTGGGGGGCACTCCAGTGGGCCTCCAGGGCCCGGCAGACGGCGCCCTTGGCAAACCAGGACGTCGGCGGGCCCGGGACGGCTGCAGCCGTGAGCCGAAAGAGAAATTCGATGTATCCATCCCCCGTTCTCCGTCCCGGCTGGAGCCTGGCAAAGCCCTGGCCTGCGAATCCCCTGGCTTCCGGGGGGCCCAGAGAGCCCGCACCGCCCGGGGCCGCTCTGGCGCCGGGGCCCCCCCTTGCGTGCAGCCGAGGGTGGGGGTGAAGCGTCCCTCCGTGGCGCTGCGTGCCCCCTCCCGCGCCGTGGGCGCGCGGCTCCAGCAGGCGCAGCGCGGCCGCGGGAGGCTCCGCGCACGCGGGCGCGGGGCACCGCTGCAGGGGTGCGGCGGCGCTGCTGGGCGGCGGCGGCGCCGCCGCCAGCGCGGCCGCCTCGCCAGTGGCCAGCGCTGCGGCGGCCACGGCCGCGCTCGCGCGGGCGCCGCAGGGCGGAGGCCCGCGGCCGTCACCCCAGGTTGCGGCCAGCGGCGCGGGGCGCGGCTCCGCCTCTGCCCAGTGGCGCCGCAACTCGCGCGCGGGGCCCGCGAGTGCGGCGAGCTCCTGGCGCGCGCGGCGCTGCTGGGTGAGCTCGTCCTCCAGCGCCCGCGCGCGGTCCGCGAGCTCGCCCTGCAGGCACCTGCAGCGGTCGTCCGCCTCCTGGAGCTCTGGCCGGACCCGCTGGAGCTGCTGCAGCAGGGCGTCGTGCGCCCTCGTGTTGAGCGCCAGGTCCCCGACGAGCGCCTCGCGGCGGCGGAGGGCCGCCTGCAGCTCGCCCTGCACGTCCTCCAGCGCCAGGTCGTCCGCGTGCCGGCTCCTGCGGAGGCCAGGGGCCACCGCCGCCTGGTGCTGCTCCTCGGTGGTCAGCTCGCCCACGCGCGCCTCCAGCTCGCCCTTGCAGGCCAGGGCCTCCTCGCGGCGCCTCTGGAGGCTCTCCAGCGCCGACTCGAGCTCGGCCTGATCGGCCCGCTGCGCGGCGCTCTCATTTGCCACGGCAGCCCTTCGCTGCTCCACCTGGCGGAGCTCCTCAGCCAGTGCGGCACAAGCGTCCTCCTCCTGCCCCAGCTCCACTGCACGCGCCTCGGCCTCCCGCCGGGCCACCTGGATCTCCTGTCTGGCAGCCGATGCCTCAGCACGCAGAAGCCCGCCATCCCCGCGCAGCGCCGCCAGGCGCTGGTCCAGGGCCAGGTGGTCGGACCGAGTGCGCGCGATGGTCTCCTGGAGCGCCTCCGCCCTGTGCTCCTGCTCGGCGAGACGCCGCGACTCCACGCTCAGGAGCCGTGCAGACGCCTCGTTCTCCGCCTGACGGGCGACGTTGGAGCTCTCCAGCGCCGCGGCGTCCTGCTCGAGGGCGTGCTCCTCGTTGTGCGCCAGCAGGGCCCGCTGCTGCGCGATGCGGAGGTCCTCCAGCGACACCCTCCCATCAGCCTCCACCTGCCGGAGGCGGCGCACGAGCTCGGCCTCCTCGCACTCCTGCTGCACCACCTCGCGCTCCTCGGCCGCCAGGCGCTCCAAAGTGCGGCGGCAGCGCACGTCCTCCGCGCGGCAGGCCTCCGCCAGGCGGGCGCACTGCTCCTCCAGCCGCTCGGTGGAGGCGTGCTCCTCTTGGGGGCGACGATGGGGGCGAATCGCCCACGGGGGGGGGGGGGGGCATCCAGGTGCGCCGATGCTCCATGCCATCGGCGAGGCTCCCCAGCGAATGCGTGCAACTGGTGCCCGCCCCATGGGCCATTCGCCACGACTGTCGCCCCCGATCCTCCTCCGCCCTCTGGGCCTGCAGCAGCGCCCGGCGGCCAGCGCCCTCGGCGCTGGCGCGGGACGCCGCCAGCGCCGAGTCGCTGGCCGCGCGCGCGGCCACGAGGGCCGCCTCGGCCGCCTCCACCTCGGAGGCCAGCGACTGCCCCCGCCGCTCCGCCGCCTCGCGGGCCCGCTCCTCGTGCTGCAGCTGCGCCGTCAGGGCCTCGAACTTGCGGCAGAGGAACTCCACCGACGCCTCGGCGCCCTGCACCTGCCAGGGGGGCACGGCCCGCGGCCGGGCCCTCCGTCGGGGCGCGGCGCTCCCGGGACCTCCTCCTCCTCCTCCTCCTCCTCCTCCTCCTCCTCCTCCTCCTCCCTCCTCCTCCTCCTCCTCTCCTCCTCCTCCTCACCTCCTCTCCTCCTCCTCCTCCTCCTCCTCCTCCTCCTGCTCCTCCTCCTCCTCCTCCTCCTCCTCCTCCTCCTCCTCCTCCTCCTCCTCCTCCACCTCCTCCTCCTCCTCCTGGACCCCCTTCACGATCCCGCGGCTGACGTCCCGCCCCGCAGCGCTATTGGCGGCCCCAGGGGCCTGGAGGAGACTGCAAGGGCGGACAGCGCAGGAAGGGGAGAGAAGGGGCTTGCACGCCTTCGCCCTGGAGCCTCGCCGCACACGCGAGCGGCGGAGGCCCCCTGGAGACCTGCGTGGCTCGCATCCCCATGGGCCGTCCGCCCCTGCCGAAGCCACGCTGCAGGGCACGGACAGAAACAGCCTCTGCGGAAGGGCTGACGAAGCGGCGAGCGGCCAGCCATCTCGAACTCGTCTCTCGCCGCGGGATGCCCAAGCATCTTCCGATCCGATTGTCGCACTCCGCGGCCCTAGAGCTCCCGACCCCCTCCCCGGGGGTAGTTCTTCGTCCCGCATCCGTTCTTGAGGTCCCTGAACCCTGACACCCTGAAAAGTCGCGGCCGGGACCTTCTAGACCCCACCATTTTTCTGAGCTAATTTCCGAGCTGGATGGATCTGCACTGGTCCCGGGACCCGAAACCTGGCGAGAAGGCCCGTTGGAAAACAAAATGCGACGCCTGGATCTCAGGGACTGCCGCGAATATAAAAAGTCAAAGAACAAAAAGCAAAAGACAACACACAAGAGAAGAAGGTCGAAGATATGGGTGCGGGGGTCGGCTAATCACACGCAAGAGTGACCCTGGGCAGGAGCAACCTTTGGTGCGCGGCCTCTGGGGGGCCGCGCGGGGGGACCAAACACGAGCCCGCACAAGACGCTACTCTATCGCAGCGCGTTCGGCGATCGGGGGACCCCAATGTGGGCCCGCTGCCAGGGTCCCTCCTGCGAAGGGTCACTCTATACGTGTATCGCCGCAAGGCTGCACCTGCCGGCTCGCCACGCCGTGCTGCGCCGGCGCGGCGGCCGCGGGCGTGCCTCCCGCCGCCCTGCCGGGCGGCGCAAGCCCCGGCGCCCACGCCCACGGGCCGAGCCCGGCCGCCGCCTCGGCAGAGCCCGCCGCCGCGGCCGCCTCGGCGGCCCGCCCGGCGCCCGGCGGCGCCTGCGGGCCCAGGCCCAGGGGCTCCGGCGGCGCGCTGCTGGAGCTGGCCTGCGGGGTGCGGGCCGGCGGGGCCCGCTGCGCCGGCGGGCCGAAGCTCATGGGGCCGGGTGCCGCCAGAGGTGGCCCTGGCACAGGTGGTGCCCTTGGCCGCCCTGGAGATGCTGACGTCGCCAGGTTTTCGCGCCGGGCGAGGTTTCCCTTCTATGTCTAGGGCGGGAGACCATCACAGATCGATCCAGCTCGAAAGAAGCCGCAGGAAGAGAGAGAGAGAGAGACAGACAACATATATGTATGCATATGTACATTTACAAACTACAAACACATACACAGGAATACATACATACATACATGTATGCATGCATGCATGCATGCATGCATGCATGCATACATACATACATACATATGCATACATGCATACCCGTGTACGTACGTACGCACATGTATTACATACATACGTGCACGTACGCATACATACACACATGCGGATATACATACATACATCAATACGCCCATACATACGTACGTAAGTACAAACATACATATACATAGGTACATGCATACATGCAAACATGCATACACGTATATACATATACACACATGCATGCATACATTCATACATACATACATACAAATATGCAAACATGCAGACATACCTACATCCGCATACATACATACATACACACGTGCGTACACACATGCATATGTACACACATGCACAGACATGCATACACGTACATGAAACATACATACATACATACATACATACACACATACATACATACATGCATGCATGCATGCACACATACATACATGCATGCATGCATGCACACACAGTTGCATACATCTACAAGCATATATACATATATATGTATACACACATACAAACATATATACATATACACACGCATGCAATATACATACATACATGCATGCACACATGCATGCATACATGCATGCATACATGCATACATGCATGCACACATACACACATGCATTACATACATACGTACACGTATGCAAACATACATACATACATGCAAACACGCACGCATCCATACATACATACGTGAATGCATACATATATGCATACATAGACATACATACACATGTATCTATAAACACATATACATACATACAGACATACGCGCATGCAAACATGCATACACATATATAACTATATCAACATGCATACAGACATTCACCGCCAAACATGAGTAAACCCATACACCTACATACATGCATACATACGCGTGATCATACATACATACAAACATACACAGCCTTACGTTTACATACATGCGTACATACATGTTTCGCATGTATACAAACATACATACATATACAAGCATCCGTAGACGCATACAAAATACGTATGGTCATGCAGACATGCATGCATACATGCGCGCATGCATGAATACATACATGCATAATTACATGGATACATGCATACACACATCCATACATGTATACATAACCGCATGCATACATGTACATATGTACATACATATACGTACAGACCTATCCATTTACATACGTATAGATCTACACACTTACATATGTACACATACAACAATGCATCTATACATACACATACATACATGTATACTAACATGCGTGTATATATATATATACACATGCATACACAGTCAGACCTAGACATACAGGCATACAATTATACATACGTACATACATACCTACATGCATACATGCATAAATACATGCAGACATATACAAGCATACATGTGCACATACATACATACATGCATGCATGCATACATACATGCATGCAAAGATGCATACATACATACGTGCATACATACATACAGACAAACATATTGGCTGACAGACAGACAGACAGACATACATAGGGCTGTAGTCGTGGCTCCATAACGATGTCGGATCCCAGGGTTTCGCGCCACGTGGGAGCCCAGTGGGGCCGCGGGCCTCGTGCGGGGTGCTCTGGAGCTCCGAAGGCCCGGGCATCCTGGAAACACCTCGAGCCAGGCACATCTCTGGAAGCGCCCGAATGGGCTCCCCCGACGACGCGCGCGCGGCCTCCCAGGGGCCGCCGCTGGCCAGCGGGCCGAAGCTCAGCGGCTCCCGCGGCGACGCGCGCGCGGCGTCCCAGGGGCCGCTGCCGACCGGCGGGCCGAAGCTCAGCGGCTCCCGCGGCGACGCGCGGGCGGCGTCCCAGGGGCCGGCGCCGGCCGGCGGCGAGGGCGGCCCAGCAGGCTGCAGGCCTCGCGGCCCGTCGCGCGGGTGGGGGCTCGGCCACCTGCGCCACGCGCCGCCGGCGAGGCGCGGGGACGCGGCGGGCTCCATCGGAGGCACCGCGCGCGGCCGGTGTGCGCAGAGGACGGGCAGGCACCGCCGCCAGGCCTGGCCTGGCATCCTCGCGGCGCGGCAAGAAGATCACGACGGGAAGCTTTCTGCCATGGTCGGACTCGGGTGGCCTCGCGAGGCTCTGGGACCGCCGTCAGAAAACGATCCAGAATGAAAGAGCGGCCAAGGAAGAGAGAGAGGGCGAGAGAGAAAGAGAGAGTGATAACAAAAAAAATGCCAGATGTCTGGGTGGCCAGGGCCATCCTGAGCACTGGCGTGTTGCACACGCCATCCTCGCCGCGGCCAGGGAGGGGCTGTGCACCACCCCGGGTCCCAGGATGGCCCTGGCCGGGACAGGCTCTGATGGTGGTGCATAGCTGCCTTCGGCGGACGATGGCCCAGCGGCACCGCGGAGGCCCCCACCCACCTCCTACCCGTCGGCTGGGCCGCTTGAGCCCGAGTGCGAAGTTAAGGCGGAGAAGCAAGAAGAAGAGGTCCTCCATGCGTCGTCCTCACTTCCGTCCAGCAATCCCCGCACGGCCATGCCGAGGAACCCTCGGGGGTCCGTTTGGGATCCCAAAGCTTTCTCCTCTTCCTCGTCATGTTCCTCCTCCCTCTCTTCCTCCTGTTCCTCCTCCTCCTCCTCCTCCGCCTCCTCCTCCTCCAATTCCTCCGCCTCGTCCTCCCCCGCCGCCTTTCCAACATCCACCTCCTCGATTATCATGGTGAACTTCCCAGAAATAGTGTTTTGGCACGATGTCGGATTGTCATGGCGTAACAAGTATGTTGATTAGTGATGTTGAACTCCAAGAACCAGTGTTCTGGCTGTTCTGGCACGACTCTGGATCGACAGCCCGCAACAGTAACCATGATTCGCGGTTTTGAAGTCCTAGGAACAGTGTTCTGGCACAGTTTCGGATTTTCGAACGGTTGTCTTCCAACGGGGCGCTTCCTTCTGTGAAAATGAATCCTTGTAGAGGCCTGTGGAGACGGAACTTGAAGGGAGAGAGTATTGCACTATCGTTGATGAGTCTTGGCGTTGCACTGGCAATCCTCCTCCTTTTTCTCCTCCTCCTTCTCCTCCTCCTCCTGCTCCTGCTCCTCCTCCGCCGCTCCTGCGGTCCTCATCCTCTTCCTGCGACAGTCAGTGGCCCACGTGTCTGGGCTTGACATCCCCGCGCCTCTCGAAAGCCGCGCGCGAAGGACCACTCCAGCAAAGGGCCACTCTCGCGTGCTGCCTGGGGAAATTGCTTTTGCTGGCCTGCGGCCACTTGGCTCAAGCAGCTCTCGAGGGACGGCGGGCTCATCCGTGGCGAACTGTGGCAGTGGGAGCAGGTGCGGCGGGAGGGAGAGAAGGAGAAGCGCGCGGTGGGGGGGGAAAGGTAACCGGGGAAAACTGGAGATACCGGTACCGCTACTGCCCAGGCCTCGCCCAACATGCGTCGTGACAATATTTTCGAGAGTTTGAAAAGGGTTGGGAGACCCAACCAGCAGCTTCGCCTTGGGCGAAGCCAAGCTCCAGCTCTGCTGGCTGTACCGTAGTAACGATAGTCCCAGCAGTAGGAGGCGAGCCATCTCAAGCAGTTTTGGTATCGATGGCAAATGGTACACCTCGCGCTGAGGTGTAGTCAGATCTGGGCGGCCGGCCGCTTTGAGTCAAGCAGCCGCGGATGCACGCTCGTTCCCACTCACATGCAACACCCAGCTCACTTTAGAGTCGGGGGGGGGAGGGAGACGAAGCGTGAATCCGCCGACTCTATACAGCAGGTACAGCAGCAATTATCCCGGCAAAGCAACCTAACAGCGATGTGTAGGAGCATATCTGGAAGCATTCCCCTTAAGATTCAGATGCTGCTGTTCTCGCAGTCGTAGTCGCATTCGCGATGACAGTCGCAGTGGCAACGGCAGTCGCAGTCACAGCCTCAGCCTCAGCCTGCCTCAGCCTCAGCCTCAGCCTGCCTCAGCCTCAGCCTGCCTCAGCCTCAGCCTCAGCCTGCTTCAGCCTCAGCCTCAGTCTGCCTTCAGCCTCGGCCTCAGCCTCAGCCTGCCTCAGCCTCAGCCTGCATCAGCCTCAGCCTCAGCCTCAGCCTGCCTCAGCATCAGCCTGCCTCAGCCTCAGCCTCAGCCTGCCTCTGCCTCAGCCTCAGCCTGCTTCAGCCTCAGCCTCAGTCTGCCTTCAGCCTCGGCCTCAGCCTCAGCCTCAGCCTGCATCAGCCTCAGCCTCAGCCTCAGCCTGCCTCAGCATCAGCCTGCCTCAGCCTCAGCCTCAGCCTGCCTCAGCCTCAGCCTCAGCCTGCTTCAGCCCTCAGTCTGCCTCAGCCTCGGCCTCAGCCTCAGCCTGCCTCAGCCTCAGCCTCAGCCTCAGCAGCCTGCAGCCTCAGCCTCAGCCTGCCTCCTCAGCCTCAGCCTCAGCCTCAGCCTCAGCCTCAGCCTCAGCCTGCAGCCTCAGCCTGCTGCCTCAGCCTCAGCCTCAGCCTGCCTCAGCCTCAGCCTGCAGCCTCAGCCTCAGCTCAGCCTGCCTCAGCCAGCCTGCCTCAGCCTCAGCCTCAGCCTCAGCCTCAGCCTCAGCCTGCTTCAGCCTCAGCCTCAGTCTGCCTTCAGCCTCGGCCTCAGCCTCAGCCTGCCTCAGCCTCAGCCTGCATCAGCCTCAGCCTCAGCCTGCCTCAGCCTCAGCCTCAGCCTGCAGCCTCAGCCTCAGTCTGCCTTCAGCCTCGGCCTCAGCCTCA